AACAGCTCACTCATTTTGCTACGTATTATAAATTCTAAGGTATATACAGCCGGTCGGCCAGGAGCTACACTCCACTCATGAACATCCCGTACGCCCGCTACACACCATGTGTTCCGTTTTGGCCCCATCCCCCTTCCCCTATCTAATTTCTCTCTCCCATGCACGGACGTCGCCGAACCACCACCTTCCTGCTCTCAAACAACCACATCTCCTTCCAGCATACCAATCCCTTATAACTCACTCCAAAAAGGATTCTCCCCTTCCCTCCATACACTGGCAACATTACCTTCTGCCTTGCGTTTGTGCACATCCACACATCCATACACCCACCCACCCACCCTCCATCTCCCCTCCCCCTCCTACACGACTTCCCACGTCCGTTCTTCCACATACACAGCCAACGTCTGTTCTTCTCACACACGCCATCCTACGTTAGGTTTTATCTACACTAACATCGCCCGCCGCCCATTATTCTCTCCACACACACTACACTGCATCTCTGCCCCTTCCTCCTTCCCGCCCTCTTACAAATTCCCGGCCTCCTACGACAACCTCAGCTCTGGAGATCCCTACATATAACAGCATTATCCGAAAACAAGATATGATCCCAAAGAGAAAAAAATATGGAAAAAGGAGAGGAGAAACAAACAAGAGAGGAATGAGGAGGCAACGCAAGAGAAAATGAAAGATGAGAGTGAGGGAATAGGAGTGGGGATGGAAAAACACAAGAAGGGACAGAGAAAAGCGAGAGGAAATACAGGGAGAGAAAGGAGTGTCAGAGAGTGAGGATAGGGAATGAATAGAATGGAAAGAGTGAAGGGAAAAATGTAAAATGGAATGAGAAAGGAGAAGGAAGAGTAAAAACAGATACAAGGGAGGGACGGAGGGACGGAGGGAGGGAGGGAGAGAGAGAGAGATGGGGGTGGAGACAAAGAGAGAGGTCTGAGAGAAAAGGAAGGCAGAGAGAAGAGACCGAGGTTGGGAAAAGAAAAAAAAGAGAGGGAAGAGTAGTAGTCGTAGAAGTAGAGAGAAAAACAGAGGCGGGGAGAGGTTACAGAGAAATATGAAAGGAAAAAGAAAAGTGAAAGAGAGGGAAGGAGGGAGGGGGGAAAAAGAAAAACAAAGAAAGAGAATGTGTATGTGTGAGAGGGGAGAGCAAAAGCGAGAGAGGGGGGAGGGAGGGAGGGAGGGAGGGAGGGAGGGAGGGAGGGAGAGAGAGAGAGAGAGAGGGGAGGGAGGGAGAGAGAGAGGTGAGAGAGAGAAAGGAGAGGAGAGAGAAAGGAGGGAGAGAGGTGAGAGATAGAGGAGAGAGAAAAGAGGGAGAGATAGAGGAGAGAGAAAGGAGGGAGAGGTAGAGGAGAGAGAAAGGAGGGAGAGATAGAGGAGAGAGAAAGGAGGGAGAGATAGAGGAGAGAGAAAGGAGGGAGAGATAGAGGAGAGAGAAAGGAGGGAGAGATAGAGGAGAGAGAAAGGAGGGAGAGATAGAGGAGAGAGAAAGGAGGGAGAGATAGAGGAGAGAGAAAGGAGGGAGAGATAGAGGAGAGAGAAAGGAGGGAGAGATAGAGGAGAGAGAGAGGAGGGAAAGATAGAGGAGAGAGAAAGGAGGGAGAGATAGAGGAGAGAGAAAGGAGGGAGAGATAGAGGAGAGAGAAAGGAGGGAGAGATAGGGGAGAGAGAAAGGAGGGAGAGATAGAGGAGAGAGAAAGGAGGGAGAGATAGAGGAGAGGAAGGGAGGGAGGGAGGGAGGGAGAGAGAGAGAGAGAGAGAGGAGGGAGAGATAGAGGAGAGAGAAAGGAGGGAGAGATAGAGGAGAGAGAAAGGAGGGAGAGATAGAGGAGAGAGAAAGGAGGGAGAGATAGAGGAGAGAGAAAGGAGGGAGAGATAGAGGAGAGAGAAAGGAGGGAGAGATAGAGGAGAGAGAAAGGAGGGAGAGATAGAGGAGAGAGAAAGGAGGGAGAGATAGAGGAGAGAGAAAGGAGGGAGAGATAGAGGAGAGAGAAAGGAGGGAGAGATAGAGGAGAGAGAAAGGAGGGAGAGATAGGGGAGAGAGAAAGGAGGGAGAGATAGAGGAGAGAGAAAGGAGGGAGAGATAGAGGAGAGAGAAAGGAGGGAGAGATAGAGGAGAGAGAAAGGAGGGAGAGATAGAGGAGTGAAAGAGGAGAGAGATATAGAGGAGTGAAAGAGGAGAGAGAGAGAAAGAGGAGAGAGTGAGAGAGAAAGAGGAGAGAGTGAGAGAGAAAGAGAAGAGAGTGAGAGAGAAAGAGAAGAGAGTGAGAGAGAAAGAGAGAGGAGAGTGAGAGAGAAAGAGAGAGGAGAGTGAGAGAAAGGAAAGAGGAGTGAGAGAAAGGAGAGAGGAGAGAGAGAGAGAGAGAGAGAGAGAGAGAGAGAGAGAGAGAGAGAGAGAGAGAGAGAAAGGAGAGAGAAAGGAGAGAGGAGTGAGAGAAAGGAGAGAGGAGTGAGAGAGAAAGAGAGAGGAGAGAGGAGAGAGAGGGAGATGGAGAGAGGGGTGAGGGAGAGAAGAGAGAGGGAGGAGAGAAGAGAGAAAAGAGGAGAAAAGAAGAGAATGGAGAAAAGAGGAGAAAAGAGAAGAGAGAGAAGAGGAGAAAGGAGAAGAGAAAAGAAAGAGAAAGAGAGAGGAGAGAAGGAGAGGGAGGGAGGAGGGAGGAAGGGGAGAGGGAGAGGGAGAGGGAGAGAGAGGGAGAGAGAGAGAGGGAGAGAGAGAGAGAGAGGGAGAGAGAGAGAGAGGGGAGGGGGGGGGGGGGGAGAGAGAGAGAGAGAGAGAGAGAGAGAGAGAGAGAGAGAGAGAGAGAGAGAGAGAGAGAGAGAGAGAGAGAGAGAGAGAGAGAGAGAGAGAGAGAGGGAGGGAGGAATAAGGGAAAAAGAGAAGGGGGTATCTCAAAACCTATACTACTTCATCACATTTAATGAGTAACTAAGCAAAAGCTCTTATTTTAGAGAAATTTAATACTGAAAGCAAAACCTGACCTTAGCATGTGAGTTATGGTTTACGACTTGTATTGAAATGCAATTTAAGTAAAATCCTTGTAAAAAAAATGAAAGAAAGTAAGAAAGAAAAAAGCTTTAACTTTCCACATACCACATATACAATATATATGTAACTGATACTAAATCTATGTTTAAGAAAGTGGTTCAAGCTCAAGTACAAGTTATATTACAATCTATCAAAATGTGAGTGATTGACTAATGTCTAAGATCATACCCAAACCCTGAACACTTTAGTCTACAAATATTGGTATTGTTGTGGTGTTGTTAAGAGTTTGGGAGTTAAGTGAGAAAACATGGAATGAAAGAAAGAAAAATAACTAAATGTATAATTGTAAGATAATTAAATGTAATTATATAAAAAGACTACTTTTGTTTACACATCATGACAATCAATCACATGCATCAAGTTAATCAGCCGATATAAGGCAAAATGTCTTATTCCATACACAAGGATAAATTAGGTACTTAAAGACAAGGCAAATGTGAAGTACGAAAATCTTACACCACACTGACTTTACATGATAACTTTATGAAAACATAAATCAAAACAACAGTACTTAGGTACTTTCTGTAACTCATTCTAATGGTAGTGGCTGTTCACTTACTGCTGAACAAAATGCATTGATGATGTGCCCATGTGTTATAGAGTTTGGCATACATGTAATTTTGAATTAAAAAATACCTCACTAATAAAAATGACAATTTCAGATAATGTTAACAAGAAAAGGTAAGAGAAAATAAGCACTTATAAGATTTAATGACTATCTCTGATGCATGTCTAATCTTAAAACATTTTTTTATATTATGTAACACAAAATCTACTTTACACACTTTTAAGTACAATACCCCCCAAAAAAAACATTGTATTTTGAAAATCTTAACACCTGTTCAACTTTTTTTCTTGTGACTCTGTCACAAAGTTATGTGAAAATAGAAATTTAATTAGTATCATTATGCATCATGCAATGACTCACTCCCAAAAGCAGGAAGTTTTATCATGTTACAAACCAAGTCCTATAATGTAAATCAGCAATCAACAGGAATGCATAGTTAGATACTAAAATTTATCTTGATTTTCAAGTAAATGGGTGGAAAGCTCAAACCAAAGATCTTCCCTGTGTGACCTACATCAAGGCATGATTGCACAGTAGCATAGACACAGGTGGAAATGTGCATTTTCCATCTAAGGAGGAAGTCATGTCAAACCCAAACATTAACATTCATTGTATACAGAACTAAGATTATCATAAAAACGCAAAAGAACCCAGATTCACTTCTGTACAACGCGGGAGCCATTTCTAGGTCAGACAGTTTCTGTTTCTCTAATAAGAAAATCTAGTAAAACTAACTGGCGCACAGCAAACCCGATTTCGCATCTGAAAATCAAAACAAAAACAATAACAAGTAGCCTCGAGATCCGAATTAACATAGAGGCCCTGCAGCCCGGCCATGTGTCAAGCCTCATGGATTTTTCCTCGCAGCCCAAGCACTTCCTGCCTTCGCAAGACGTCATTCGCGGAACAGGGGAAGAATAAAATAATTACCAAAATTTCAATTAGTGGAAATTCTGACACAAATCGCGAGGAAAGCAGAAGAGACATCTCGAGGCGAAGTCGCGCCTTGTGTCAAGATGACATAAGGTCGCGTTTCCCTCGGCGGCGAGACCGACCTTACGCCCTTACGCCCACTGACCGGCTCATACAACACACTTCCTCACACTTCGTCTTCCTCGCACATTACTCCACTTCAGATAACATCGTATGTCAGTCTGTGTCCATTATGAATGATTCTTCTAGCCGATGCGGCCCGGAGCGCGACGCCCGTTGACTAACATTACTTTGTTCGCCATTGAAGATCTCGCTGTATTTGATATGGTCAATACCCCCACTCGATTACCTGTTCCTCACCACAGAATTTCCGAAATCTAAGGTCACTGGGTTGCTTTTCTACATCGCTATCGATAATTCTAGCATTACCCCGCATCATGTACTTACCAAAAGTGCCCATGTCGGCCTTAAATTTAGTAAAACACGCTTATTCCAGTGTGGTTCTGCCGCTTCACTACTATGATAGATGTTACTCTTCGCGATCCATACTCTAAACTCTTCTGAAAACTACCAAACTCCCGCAACCTTCTACTAATATCACCACCCATCCCAGTCTTTTCCTCTAAATTCAGTCTTCATCGCATAGTAATAAATAGTTTGAATAATTCTGTTAACATCTGCATCCCCTGGAACACAGAAAATCCATTTTAAAATGCGTGAAGCAAAAATTCTCCAAAAAACTTGAAAATAATGTTGGAACTTATCAAGGCTTTAATCAGAGACGCCGAGACGACTTGGGAGGCCGACGCTCATTGGCTGAGGCCGGGCAGCGCGGGGCGGATTTCGCCAATCAAAACAAGCTTTCAATCGCCTAAAGGAGTGATGGACCAATCATTATTGAGATTTAGGTAACACCAGTTGGTATAAGAACTATAGTTATATTGTACGTATTTATCTAAAACATACACAACCTTTATAACTTTTACAACCTTTGTATAGATATATATACATTAATTAATTTACATAAAACCTGTAACTTTAATAGATTTGTAATTGCATTAACTAATCTCAAATTATAGTTCTTCCATTGGTGTAATGGCGGCTCGGAATAGAAAAACATCCATGTCAAAACCTTGTTATATTCCTTCTACGCCCCATGAGGCGGAAAGTGACGCCGGGGCGGGTTCATCACAGAGCAGCCATGGAGTGGGCGGTCAGGTGGGCGAGGCAAATGACGGTGACAATGTTCCACACACGAGAAATGGCGTCCTGAGTACTGGATCGTCTGCTGTGGGAACTGATGTTATGGCCACACAACCTTCCTCCTCTGGACTCGTTAGGGACGTCATCGGGATATTTGTCGTTGCTTTCGATACGAAGGAAGGTAAGGATGATATTCTGGTAATATTTAAGGGACCTCCTACTCCTACTGGTCTTTATGTCCTTCCATAAGAGAAGGAACCAGATTTTTTTTTGACGTGTCAGATCGCCCGTTTTCTGAAGACAAATTCTGACGCGAAATGATGAGCAAATCCAATCTATACCGAGCATCTCAAAACTATTGCTAGGCCCATGTTCAAAGGCTGGGAGTAAATTCAGTGAATTTGCAATAGATAAGTGTTCTCTTCTGTCAGATTTTGTACTTCAATGTAAAGAGAAGCTGCACATTAAAAGCCTAATTTTCCTTTCATTGACCTGATGCTATTGTGGTAGAGTTGCTCTTCAGCATATTACACACATGGTACTTATATGAAATATAGTTGAGTTGCCAAAAAATTGTACTGATATATTCTTCCAGTCTTCTAGTATTTGTATGCAGGAATTTATATGCTGTAACCTCTGTACCCCATAGACTAGGTTCAAATAATGGTTAATGTTACAGAGAGTGATGCACAGAGATAGAGGGAAATAGACACTGCCATCTTATTAAGCATAAAAAAGAGTCTTAGGCAATACAGTTAGATTCGCAGCAGCCTCATATGTACTGAGAAATGATGAAAATGTCCTCTGCATGTCACCGCTCAGAGACAAAGTCCACAGCACCCTCACACAGCCAGAGTTTTTAATGTTCGTCTGTAAGTTGGCTGATAAAAGGGGGTGGTACAGGGGTCTTGCCTAAGGAATAAGTAGAAGGTAGGCAAGGTGAGGTTAGGGTTTTGGGTTCACATGTTACCCTGGTTTTGGGACTTTGTCTGTAGAAGGTACGTTGCTCTAGGTAACATATACCCAAATTGTAATAGTGGTCATAAAGTTTAATGAATATTGCAGGAGGAAACATGAAAATTTACTGTTTTGCATGGAAACATATGAGGATTGTGTTATTCTTATATTGGTATGGTATGATTGGGAATGCATTACATCTAACACTGAAACTGAAGAATCTGAACTTGCCATCTGATAGGACGTAACATTCTTAGACACTTAAACTCCATAGCATTTTATTTGCAAACTACTAACAGTAGTAGAGAGGATGTACTCTTCCAGCAGCAAAGAGAAAATTATGAGAAAGTCTGTGGAATGGGGTTGGGACCTGTAAAGACTTACCCTTATCATTATGGGAACCAGATATTTGCCTGGGCCCTTTCCTGTCAGAACAAAGGAGGTGAAGGTTTTGTAGACTAGGAGTGGGGTAAGGGGTGGTGCCCCTTACCCCTTTACATCACCAATGTGTATTATTAAGTGTAGTTGCTTGGGTGCTATCCTGCTGGAATATACAAGGTAAAGATTTTGCAGACTATGTGGGGGTAGGGGGGTGGTAGCACTCTATGCTTAGAGGTTAAAGCTCCCTGATTTTAACCCCTTGGTGCCGGGTGACGCCAATCGGCGTGAAAACAAACCACTCAAAAGCTGGCGTGCATCCGTACGCTGCGGCAGCGCGCCAAAGCGTGGCAAGCCAGTGATTCGGGCTGATGTCCCCTACTCACGCTCTCAAAGTCGGCGCGCCACCTTTGTTTGCTAGAGCGTAGAGTTGTTGTTGTTGTTGTTGTTGTTGTTGTTGTTGTTGTTGTTGTTGTTGTTGTTGTTGTTGTTGTTGTTGTTGTTGTTGTTGTTGTTGTTGTTGTTGTTGTTCACTGAATCACTCACCTCAAGCATCCTACTTATGGACTGGCTTTGCACAATTATCACCCCCCTTTTCAAGACAGGTAACTTTAAAGTCCCACAAAACTATTGCCCTATCTCTGTCTTGATTGTTTGCAAAATTTTGAGTACATGATATACAAATACATTGTCTTATTTCAGCCAATTAATACTGAAAACCACTACAGAATCATCCAACATGACCTAAATGGCCTCACACTGTAGGAAAAGTCATGGCAAATAATATTCAGACCAGATAAATACAGGGTACTCATATCATCAGATCACATACACCCAAACTCTACACAACTAACAGCTGACACCCACCTCCTACAAATACCACAGAGTACACTTCACATACACAACCTCACATTTAACATCCACATTAATTTTATCACAGAGAAAGCAAAAAGAACACTGGGGTTCCTGAAGAGAAACTTTCACACCTGTACTCCAGATATCAAAGACAGCTTACAGTACACTTGTATGCCCAACATTGGAGTACTGTATAGTTCTATGGGACCCTTACACCAAATACAATTTTATTACTTGCAATTACACCTTTATTCAATGTAATACAACTCACATGAAAACACAGATAAACATGGACTTACTTGAGACATGAAGACAAACACACAGACTTACAATCACATTCTACCTTAATAGCTTGAAAAAAAAAAATCCCAAAAATTCAAGGAAAGTGGAAAGCAGTTAATTTCACATAGGTTGAGCATTTGTAGGGCCAGGCCATCTGTGTGTAATCACATTTCACAAAACAAAACTAACAAAACCCCTAACACTTTGATACATTGTGTGATGTTGTTGTTGTTGTTGTTGTTGTTGTTGTTGTTGTTGTTGTTGTTGTTGTTGTTGTTGTTGTTGTTGTTGTTGTTGTTGTTGTTGTTGTTGTTGTTGTTGTTGTTGTTGTTGTTGTTGTTGTTGTTGTTGTTGTTGTTGTTGTTGTTGTTGTTGTTGTTGTTGTTGTTGTTGTTGTTGTTGTTGTTGTTGTTGTTGTTGTTGTTGTTGTTGTTGTTGTTGTTGTTGTTGTTGTTGTTGTTGTTGTTGTTGTTGTTGTTGTTGTTGTTGTTGTTGTTGTTGTTGTTGTTGTTGTTGTTGTTGTTGTTGTTGTTGTTGTTGTTGTTGTTGTTGTTGTTGTTGTTGTTGTTGTTGTTGTTGTTGTTGTTGTTGTTGTTGTTGTTGTTGTTGTTGTTGTTGTTGTTGTTGTTGTTGTTGTTGTTGTTGTTGTTGTTGTTGTTGTTGTTGTTGTTGTTGTTGTTGTTGTTGTTGTTGTTGTTGTTGTTGTTGTTGTTGTTGTTGTTGTTGTTGTTGTTGTTGTTGTTGTTGTTGTTGTTGTTGTTGTTGTTGTTGTTGTTGTTGTTGTTGTTGTTGTTGTTGTTGTTGTTGTTGTTGTTGTTGTTGTTGTTGTTGTTGTTGTTGTTGTTGTTGTTGTTGTTGTTGTTGTTGTTGTTGTTGTTGTTGTTGTTGTTGTTGTTGTTGTTGTTGTTGTTGTTGTTGTTGTTGTTGTTGTTGTTGTTGTTGTTGTTGTTGTTGTTGTTGTTGTTGTTGTTGTTGTTGTTGTTGTTGTTGTTGTTGTTGTTGTTGTTGTTGTTGTTGTTGTTGTTGTTGTTGTTGTTGTTGTTGTTGTTGTTGTTGTTGTTGTTGTTGTTGTTGTTGTTGTTGTTGTTGTTGTTGTTGTTGTTGTTGTTGTTGTTGTTGTTGTTGTTGTTGTTGTTGTTGTTGTTGTTGTTGTTGTTGTTGTTGTTGTTGTTGTTGTTGTTGTTGTTGTTGTTGTTGTTGTTGTTGTTGTTGTTGTTGTTGTTGTTGTTGTTGTTGTTGTTGTTGTTGTTGTTGTTGTTGTTGTTGTTGTTGTTGTTGTTGTTGTTGTTGTTGTTGTTGTTGTTGTTGTTGTTGTTGTTGTTGTTGTTGTTGTTGTTGTTGTTGTTGTTGTTGTTGTTGTTGTTGTTGTTGTTGTTGTTGTTGTTGTTGTTGTTGTTGTTGTTGTTGTTGTTGTTGTTGTTGTTGTTGTTGTTGTTGTTGTTGTTGTTGTTGTTGTTGTTGTTGTTGTTGTTGTTGTTGTTGTTGTTGTTGTTGTTGTTGTTGTTGTTGTTGTTGTTGTTGTTGTTGTTGTTGTTGTTGTTGTTGTTGTTGTTGTTGTTGTTGTTGTTGTTGTTGTTGTTGTTGTTGTTGTTGTTGTTGTTGTTGTTGTTGTTGTTGTTGTTGTTGTTGTTGTTGTTGTTGTTGTTGTTGTTGTTGTTGTTGTTGTTGTTGTTGTTGTTGTTGTTGTTGTTGTTGTTGTTGTTGTTGTTGTTGTTATTGTTATTGTTCACTGAATCACTCACTTCAAGCATCCTACTTATGGACTGGCTTTGCACAATTATCACCCCCCTTTTCAAGACAGGTAACTTTAAAGTCCCACAAAACTATTGCCCTATCTCTGTCTTGATTGTTTGCAAAATTTTGAGTACATGATATACAAATACATTGTCTTATTTCAGCCAATTAATACTGAAAACAACTACAGAATCATCCAACATGACCTAAATGGCCTCACACTGTAGGAAAAGTCATGGCAAATAATATTCAGACCAGATAAATACAGGGTACTCATATCATCAGATCACATACACCCAAACTCTACACAACTAACAGCTGACACCCACCTCCTACAAATACCACAGAGAACACTTCACATACACAACCTCACATTTAACATCCACATTAATTTTATCACAGAGAAAGCAAAAAGAACACTGGGGTTCCTGAAGAGAAACTTTCACACCTGTACTCCAGATATCAAAGACAGCTTACAGTACACTTGTATGCCCAACATTGGAGTACTGTATAGTTCTATGGGACCCTTACACCAAATACAATTTTATTACTTGCAATTACACCTTTATTCAATGTAATACAACTCACATGAAAACACAGATAAACATGGACTTACTTGAGACATGAAGACAAACACACAGACTTACAATCACATTCTACCTTAATAGCTTGAAAAAAAAAAATCCCAAAAATTCAAGGAAAGTGGAAAGCAGTTAATTTCACATAGGTTGAGCATTTGTAGGGCCAGGCCATCTGTGTGTAATCACATTTCACAAAACAAAACTAACAAAACCCCTAACACTTTGATACATTGTGTGATGTTGCCTTGTGTTTGCCATAAAACATACCATTGAAGTTACCACTTACACACAAAGTTAAACAAAATATATATATATATATATTTTTCTTAATCTTAGAAAAAAAGTCAATAGATTGGAATATATATCAAAATGTATCAGTGTTAGGGGTTTTGGAAATGCTACAAAAAGCCTTTAAGTGAATCTTACATGTTCCTGGGAGGCACTGGGTTGAGGCACTTATGATTGAATATTTACTTGGTTTATATTTTGCAACTGAATTACTTCACATTAATGTGGAGTGCTTAAGAAAGATGGTCCATATTGGTGCACAAATATCCTAGTTGAGACAATGGTTATAAAAATGTTGCTGTGAAAGCATATTCCTCAAGGTGTCAAAAGGTGAGCTGAATTGTTGCATTTTAATGAGGTGTGCTTGAAGAAGCTTAGTAGATAAAGAAGCTGAATAAAACAAGATTGACAAAGTACCAGTATGGTGTATCTGGAGCACATGCTGAAATTTAGAGCAAAAATAACATGGCATGTACATGTTCCACATGACACTTCCAGGCTACATGTCACAAATATTTTTAGGCTGACTCCTAAGAATGGATAGGTAAACCAAGTCAGTGCAAAAGGAAACAGACACATGAGTGTGATCTGAAGAGAATGAACTGAAATTAACTGAATACAATGTCTAATGTCAAAATGCTTATTTTTACAGTTTTACTCTTTTTTTGTTATATTTATGGTTACGATCATCATTGTTCAACATCCTTTTGGTTAAAATATTATTATTATTATTATAATTTTTATTATGATAATGATTATAATCATAATGATATAATAGCAGTAATTAAAAAGTAATAATTGTAATGATGATGATGATTTTAATAATGATAAAGATGTGTTTCATCTGTTTGTTTGTTCACACCTTATGCCTAAAAAATTATTTCATATAACTGCTGGCTTGGAAGTTGCTTTATTTGAATGTAAAATGGAGTGATTATTGGCATTATAAATCTTACACACACACACACACACACACACACACACACACACACACACACACACACACACACACACACACACACACACACTCTCTCTCTCTCTCTCTCTCTCTCTCTCTCTCTCTCTCTCTCTCTCTCTCTCTCTCTCTCTCTCTCACTCACTCACTCACTCTCTCACTCACTCACTCACTCACTCACTCACTCACTCACTCACTCACTCACTCACTCACTCACTCACTCACTCACTCACTCACTCACTCACTCACTCACTCACTCACTCACTCACTCACTCTCACTCACACTTATTATTTAAATGGCTTAAGAGGGAGGGCAAGAAGCAAAAAGCAAGGAGGGGAAGGAGAAAGGGTAGGGAAAGGGGGGCTTAAAGGGGAAAGGAGGACTAAAAATAAAAGGGGGAGAAGGCAGGAGATGGATACTTAAGAGAAAAGGGAAATTGGGAAGAGGAAATTGAGGATAGGGTGTGAGGAAAGGTAGGGGAAGGGAGAAGGCTCTGAGAGAAAAGGGGATGGGGAGGGGTGGAAGGGGATGAGGGCGGGAATGAGGTGGATAGATTAAGGTGGAGGACGAAGGATGTGAAAGGGGAGGAGTGAATATAAGCAAGATTAAGAGCGAGAGGAGGTAACAGAGCAGGAGAGGGAAAGGAAAAGGGAGAGAGGAGAGTAGGAGGATTTACCTCTTCATTTTCATTATTATTTCTTCTTCTTCATCATCATCTTCTGAATTTATGCAGGTCCACTAGTTGTTACTATTTACTCATTTTCATCATTATCATTGCTATTGCTGTTGGTATTGCCATTATTATGATTTTTGGTGTAGTTATAATTATCATTATCATTGTTACTGTAGCTGTTACTGATATTGTTATCATACTTATTATTATTATTATGGTTATTATTATTATTATTGTTATTTTTATTATTATTATTATTATTATTATTATTATTATTATTATTATTATTATTATTGTTATGATTATTATTATTGTTTTAACTATTACTATTATTATTATTGTTTTAACTATTACCATTATTAATTTGTTTAGACTTTCTCTATTATGGTTGTATTTTGTCTGTAATTGTTATCTTTCATGCTTTATCATTGGTCTTTACTATTATTATACATACTATTTTTGTATGTGTGTATTCTTTTAGTCCTTCTCTATCTAGTTTGATATCTTTCAGGAAATCTGCTAGAATGGTGTGTCCCCCAAGAGTTGCCTCTAGAAGGTGTAGAGTTCCGTGCTCTCATCAGTGGTGCCCATACGATCACATCCGACTTTATGTAAGTTCTTTGCATAGTTATTTAGTTTGCTTACTCAGAGTAATGGAAGATCCATTTTCAATGACTACTTTGAATGTGAATGTGAAAGTTTGATGCATAAAGTAATTGAAAAGAGTAAAATTCTGTTGGCGATGAAAAAGTCATGGGGAAAAAAGCCTGCCAGTTTTTAACAGGCCTTGTCCAATATTGTCAGATATAATTATCAAGGACTGTAGGTAGATATCAAATACTTCTTTATTTAATGGCAGCTTTGGAAGGAACTGATGTATGATATGTCTAATTTTAGATGCATATTATTTTATTGACAATGAAATAGTCTTGAAAAAATAGCCCACCTGTTTTCAACAGAATGGAAGTTGCAGTCACTAACTCCTTTACTTACTAGTAGATTTGAATAAAAGTAATATATGGTATGTCTAATGTTATATGCATATTACCTGCCACTCAACAAGTTATTTAAAAAAAATGTCCATGAAAAAATTACCTAAAAAAACTTATATAATTTGAATTTTTTGTAATGGAATATATATTAAGATTTCTTTTTAGTTTTGTGTAAAGATTGATTTTAGAAATAATCAGTTATACACTATTGCTCCAAGATATTGTGTTGAGCAGAATTACTTTTCCTAGTTAGCCTTGTCTATCTGCACTTTGCATAGATATTTTTGTTTCCTTCCATTCCTCAAGTTTCTACATCACATCATTACAAATATGTCTTTGATGCACACATGTGTGAAAAAATAGCAAATCATCTTGATGTACACTCTGCTTGTTGAGAAAGAAGTATCAATTAATGTATCCCCAGCTCTTACATAGGTTCTGCAAGTGTTGCAATATTGAAAGATAACAAAAAGTGCCACATTTTGAATTTTAGAGCATTTTTTCATAGAATTATGTTATTTTTATCATCATTTTATCATATTTATGACCATTATTTTCATTATTTGTTGTTATATTTTGATAACTCTTACTGTTATTGTCATTGTTATTATTACATTTATTATTATAACAATTATTATTAATTATGTTCATCACCATCAATTTCCAAAGATATTTTCGGCAAGGAGACTATTTTGGTGCGGCTTGCTACGAGAAGCTGACAGTCCTCTCAGAGATTGAGCGAGGAGCACGCATGAAAAGTGTTGGCGTCATTGTGGCTAACTATGACACCCTCCACCACCATTTAGAATACCTAGCACAGCAAGTAAGGTTAGTGTATTGTTTTGAGTTGGTTTATTCTTATCTTATACTTATGTTTGTTTGGTAACTTGATATATAAAAGAAAGTGTCTTAACCCATTCCCGCCGGGCATGCCATGCCATGCCATGCCCACAGTGAGATTACTTGTTAGATTGTTTTCACACATAGATGGCTACACTTGTACTAAATCACTAATGAGCCAGTTACGAGTACCACCTGCCTCGCCCGTTCACCCTTTTCTTTGATTTACAAATTATTTTACGTTAACTTATTTTGCTGTTACTAATGTTAAAAAACATTATAAAAATTATAATGTTTATGATAAAAATAACACTATCGATATTCATGGCACTAGTGAAAAATACGTTTTTCCCGCTATATATGTATATATGTATATATGTATATATGTATATATGTATATATGTATATATGTATATATGTATATATGTATATATGTATATATGTATATATGTATATATGTATATATATATATATATATATATATATATATATATATATATATATATATATATATATATATATATATATATATATATATATATATAAGTTATAAATAAAATAAGATATGTATTTATACTTACACACTGCAAATAGAACAACTAAGGGAAGAACAAGAAAACATATGAATATGCCAAAGGCCTTTTTTGCTTTAGTGTTTATCTAGACAGGAGAAACACAGAGGTTTATATTTGTGTACTAGGTGGTCAGGTCATGTTGGTAATTAACCCATTTGCGATGGGGCAAATGCTGTGCTCATTTTTTATGTTTTTTGTGAAATGTCTCTACACATAGATGGCTCTGCTATACTTGATTTCACCTGTATTTTTTACTAGTGCTATGAATATCAGTGGTGTTATTTTTATTATGAACATTATAATTACTATAATGTTATAAACATTAGTAATTGCAAAATAAGATAACGTAAACAGGTGAGACAGGCAGTACTCGTAACTGGCTCATTGGTGATTTAGTACAAGTGTAGCCATCTATGTATTAAAACAATTAAACAAGTAAACTCACAGTGGGCATGCCACATATACGTGACATACCCGTCGCGAATGGGTTAAGTGTAAAGTCTAAAATCTGAATGCTTGAAGAAATTGTAGGGTCAATGTATCAGTTCCCAATACAGCATTGCTATGTTGTGTTATATTTGTAGTAATCCAAATTTTGTTCTACAGGTCTGCCATTAGATTCCCCCCCCCTCTCTGAGTAATGTAACTTGTGCATGCACATGCTATATATAAAACACATACCATCAAATTATGATATGGAAAACCATCCTCACTGATGTCATTTGAAGATGATTGATAGCCATTTTTTCC